GTATTAAACTATGGCTGTTTTCTTTGTTCCATTAGGTCCCTGATTCACTAATAATAGCAATATGTAAAAATAAAAATAATTGAGGATTTTAATTAAAACATGTTCTTATTCATCATATTGAAATTGCTCAAATAAATGTGAGGATAACCCCCTTTGCCCACCTCTTGCAAAATAATTCACATCTAACTTTTTCATTGGGCAAGTAATAATTTCTGATATTCTAGAATGAGATGGCAACTTGCTCTGTTCCATATTTTGTTTAAATTGCATCAAATCTTAGGAGTTATGGAGAATTTAACAAACCTAGATAAAATTGAACTTTTGGTTTAATTTTTCTTTTTGATGTATATCCTCCTCAAAATCATTATTTCTTGTTCTAACAACATCATGATCAACTTGGGACATTCTGGGGCTTTGGAACTGTAATCAGAATTTGTTTAATGTTTTAAGCGAATTTTAAAACTATACTATGTGTTTCTTCGTGAATTGTCACATGATGTCAGTTCAATATTTTCTTTCTGTTCTGAAAGACTACTATTCAATATATTAAATTGAAGGAGCCAGGCATAGGCTGAACAGAGAGAAAAGGTTAGTTCACGGAAGGATGCGAACCATGAGCACTCTTGTTTGAAGACCATCTAAGGACAATTGCTGAAATCAGGAGTTGATATCCTTATTACAGAACCTACATCCAGCAAAGGTTAATGCTTAGTGTAACATCACTTGTCAGTATGTTTTCTTCTTTTAAGTACCAGTTGTCATGTATCATCCAGTCAGAACTGACTCATGGTTGACCCTCCAGCAGGTTTTCAGAGGCAGTTAATTACATGGTAGGAGAATGCCCATCTTTCTCCCACAGAACAGCTGGTGGATTCAAACCACATGCCTTTGGGTTGGCAATGCAATTCCTTACCACTTAGTCCCCATAGTTCCTTCTTAAATAAAAATACAGATTTCTAACATTACCCTTAAATGCTTAAGAATCAAGCCCTGTTTTTCAATTTTGGTAGCACATCTTTCTTTTAACCTCATTGTTTTTTTAAATAAAATTAACAATTTTTACATAAACGATTTAAAATAATATTGAGGAAGAAAGAAACACACAACACGCACATAAGCCCACCAACCCACATCCAAATTTTAGTATTTCCATGGTTCTCATCAATTCTTATCCATTTCCTCACTATTAAATAGTTATAACCAAAAGAGAGCATAAAACGTACTTTTTAACAAAATACAATTACTCAGGTTGCTTGTTAATCATATCTTTGGTGATAGAACTTTAAAAACTTTAAAAAAATTAAAATCAAGATACTCTTTCCTGTTACTACTGAATAAACTACTATAGATTATAAAACAAATGACGGTTATTGATAACTGATTTCCATTCCTTAGTCAGTAAAAATGTAATTATTTATCTTAAAGAAAAGCAAAAGATTCTAATTATAGTTCCAGGGAAACCCACAAGAAGAAAACCGCTTATGCTAACACAATGTGATGATTATATTAGAAAGTGTTATATATTTTTTATGTTTTTCATATATTCAACAATTTTTCCAGAATTTGATGAGATTTATAAATTTTACACACCTACTAAAATGTGTACTTTCAGATACAATTTTATTTGAAGACACATGGGAGGAAAAATCCAACCCAATGCCAACTTACCAGCTTGCGCTTTATCTGAAACACCTGAAGCAGCCTAAAAAAGAAGAGAAGAAATGCCATGAAATTGTAGGACCCTTATGAAGAAACATCAAATAACATCACTTGGAATAAAATGAAGTATTATAAATGCAGTGAAAATTAAATGGAATTCATAATAGAAAATAAGACTTGTGAAACTATCAGGAAAGGTATCAAATCCTTCTGTGATAACAACTCTAATTTATCATGACATTGTTTCCTTTTCTGAAAACAGACTCCTGGCCAATAACAAAGAGTGGCCTTCCCCCCACCCCCCATATTTGATCCTATTTTAGCACAAAACTATGTGACTGAGCATATAAAAGTAAATTTTGAATGAGGATGATAATCAATTACTTGGACTGTGAAGCAAAAATAGATTTGATTTCCTTTAGTCAATACCAACATAGTTGATTCTAATC